CTGACAGGAAACCTGTGGGCTGTGAGAGGTGGGACTGGACCCATGCCTGAAGGTCTTTCCCCCTCCTGTGTCTCTATTGGTCCCTGATCATGGGGAGGTGGAGTCAGAGAGCGGGGCTGCAGGGAGACACGCAGCTCCACGTCATACGAACACTTTGGCGAGAGCGTCCGCCCCGGCGCTTGCGATGTAGCATTTAGACGGATGAAACGCCACGTCGTGGATCGACTCCTCGAACTTCTTTCTGTGAGCCGTGAACTCCTGGATGCAGGTTTTACTCTCCAGGTTCCACAGACGGATTGAGCAGTCGTGACCTGCAGAGGACATGACGAGTTACAAGTGGTAGGGGAAGAGCAATTACATGAGCATGGACCAGTTTCTCCTAGAACGTGGAAAAAAGACTTGCCTTTGGTGGCAATATGGTGTCTGGAAAAACCTCATTTACCTTATCATTAAAAGTGAGGTGTTAGAATGGCTTTACTTTGACATGTTGTTGAAAACATTTAAAAATGTTAAAAGTGGTAGTTTGTTGTGACAGTGTTCAGGACTCTTATGTAAAAGTGGATCTAGAATATTCAGTGATGAACATCAGCCTTCTTTTTGGCTGTGGGTGAGTTCTGTTACTGAGATCAGACTGTACATGAATGTGCTGTAATTATCAGAGACATTGACCTTTACAGGACATGTTCACTCTGTGACTCAACTAGTCATTTCTTTCATACACCTGCTGCAGAAACAAGTTATATTGCTACTGTTACACACAAACTGTACACATATTGTACATCCACATATTACGCTTTTTCAGGCTAATGAAAAAATATATAGATTTTCTTTTGAATTACGGCCTCGCGGCTGTGTGCCTCCGCCATTCAGTCACATATATCCTAAATATCATCACTTCAACATTTCATCCTGTTAGACATTTGTGTGAAATTGTCACAACTAGTTTGGAGTTCTAATCAGTTCATCCCTGAGTGTACGTAGACGTTAGAGACAAATTTAAAGAAAATTCTTAAGATATCACGGGAATGGGACGGAGGTGAGGTCAGTGACCAGGACCTTTGACCTCCAAAATCAGTTCATCTTTTAGTCCAGGTGAACGTTTAGAACAAATTTGAAGAAATTCTCTCCAGCCGTTCTGAGATATCGTATTTATGAGAATGGACCCAGCAGACGTACGTATCAACAACAGCCACGGCTGTCACTCACCATGTGGACAGTATTAACTACTGTATAACATCATTAAGAAAAAACAATACGATGATACACAGTCATTGTTGAGCAAAGACTTTCACATATCACTCACAGTCACTGCTGGGTTGAGAACCTATCAACGAACTAATGCATAAAGGGAAACCGGTGATGTAAGACGAAGCACAAGGGGGCACAGGTTAGGAGGTACTTACTGCCGGACATGAGATAAAGTCCATTCGGGTCTACGGCTAAGCTCGTGACAGCATCTAGGTGAGCCACCATGGAGTGAATCATTTTCCCGCTGTTGTTGTCAAAGAACTTGATGTGTCTGTCCTCTTCTGCAGTGATGGTGATGGGAAGAGTCGGGTGGCTGAGGACCTTATTGATCTGACAGGGAGTGCCTGGTTCAAAACAGAAGCAACATTAGACGACTTATACCAACTGTCAATTTGAATGAAATCATTAGCAACACAAAATCTGATCAGTGGAAATATTGTGCTCCGTGTGTGGACGTTACGCATGTAAACACCTGGTAACACCTCACCTGAGTCAGGTTTTACTTGATGCAGACATGAGAATGAAAACACTAGAAATACATACTTTACATTGTTTTGATACGCACAGTTAGGTGTTACCACTGAAGTAGTGTGTTAGTGACCTAACTGTTGGTAATCTTTGTAAATCAAACCAAATATAATAATAAAACTGAAAAACATCCGTGGATCAGAGTCTGTTAATAATTTACTCTCCTACAGCTGCCACCAGATGTTACTCAAGAGGCATATTCTCTGATAGCACATGACCGACTCCACTTCAACGTCATGATTGAATTCAACAAGTGTTATATAGTGCGTTTTATTATTAGAAGCCTGGAAATCAATGGAGAATTTTACTGATCGGTCTAAATGCTGCAGCCTTTCATCTGGCACAACTTACCCGGCTCCAAATTGGACTCGAGACTGAGGACCAGCTGGCGGGTCTCCATGTTGAAGAGGCCGATCTGCCCGTTAGTGAAGGATGTGACCAGGTGGGCTGGATCACTGCACACCAGGTCTACTGAGGAGGGAACTCCGAGGTCTTGTACACAGAAAGATACATTTATGTTAACTAGTCAATTAAAGCAAATATTAAGGGGGAAAAAAGTCAAGATACAAGCTTGAAGTCACTACTTTTGTCTTCGTTGAATACTGCGAGGGCGGGGGAAGTGGTGTTGGCATCCCACAGCCTCACAGTCCCGTCTGCCGAGCAGGAGAGGAGGCGCTGGTGTGCGCTGCTGTACACCAGACCCCAGACGGAGTCGGTGTGTCCACACAACGCTCCGCGCAGCATCGATGGGTCTGTGACAGAAAACCCACGACAATCAAAGTCAGTCACCATGACCGGATTTTAAAAATCTTCTCGATTCAAACGAAACACTTGACGGCGTTACCGTAGGAGTCGTAGGGGTCGATGTTGGGATTGGGGGTGTTCCAGCACTGTATAGTCCCATCAACCCCTCCGCTGAAACACTGCTCCCCTGAACTGCTCATCACCACACTCAGCACAGCCCCCCTGGGGTGCAAGTAAAAATCATTTAGCAAAACTTCTCAACACTGAATTTTATTTTACAAGTTTATATTTATGTGAAGAGTTTTTACCTGTGGGCCCTGAAAGTGTAGATTGGTTCCACATCTAAAGATGCACTCCTGTGGACAAACAATGTGTTCATTAACATTAACATGCAACACAACACAGCAGTGCAGTGCAGTGCTGTGCCAGCTAAATGTGTGCCGATGATTCGATTTCAAATTATTGGCGGTGATTTGTACAAAGCCATACATTAATGTACAATTGCTGTTATACCAGTGATCTGTACCAGTGATCTGTATTATGCTGCTCTGTTGTCATTACTACAGACTGTGTGTGGGCTGCGTAGGGCTGAATCGTGTGACTGTGCAGTAACAAAGATGAACTATCCTCCTGATGGGATTGTTATTAACAACAGAACTTTTCCCTCTAATGATGTTGCTGCGGGAACAAAGGGACACTCTGCTGTCAATAAGCCAATAAGGAAGGAATGACGTCTACTCAATACGACAGTAAATTTAAAGCTGTTGATTTATCTCCTTTTGGCTGAGAAAAAATAAAAACCAACAGTAGGAATCGGTCTGGGTGGTACCGGCCAGGTGTTTTGAGGTATTCAACTTGTGGTAAGACATTCTTACTTTTTGGCAGGAGCAGTCTTTTGCAGGTTCCACATCTTGAGCGTGTGATCCTCTGAAGCAGTGACCAGGACGGGCTCCACAGGGTGAAAGGCCAGAGCTCGAATCCCATCGAAATGACTCCGCAGAGTGAATTTGGGGTTCCATGTTTTTCTCATGGCATCCTTATTGTTGCCAATCTGAGGAAGAGACATCTAATCAGAAACTCAACATCCAATTAACCGTGTTATTACATATAATCAGTAGCCTTTAAAACGAGCCAAAACAGCTCCCTTAGTGAGTTTAAAGGATAAACATCCTTAAACCACTTTTTCTGTGAAAGTCTGCTGTCACTATAATCACTCTCACTATCTTAAAGCTGCTACAAGGAACTGTATTTTGTGTTGATTTGGGCTTTCTGGTGTAGAATAACTACAGTATAGAAATAGCCGAGCTTCTCGCTGATGATCTTGTTAACTTATGGAGGTCGTGTAGAGTCGTCAGTATTAAACTGACTGTTTCATAACCAGTTGTTCCTCACAGTTACTTTGAAAGAGCATGCTACAACCTACGCAGGTGTGTTTTTATAGCCGTGTGACTTTGACATTAGTCGTTAATGTGATCTAAACAAAAAAACTGATATCTTCCTATATTACACTTTCAAAGCAGCTTTCCTGACGCTGCCTATAAAAATAGCTATTTGACACGCAGTTGGCAAGTTTTCAGCATGTGATGCGACTTGCTAGACTTGCTGCGGATTAGAGGAGGAAGGCGGGACATCTGTTTTTCATGAGAACATGAACAGAAATAGTTTCCCCCCCGAGAAATGGTCTTATGACATTTAAGATATATTCTGCTTCTTCCTACTCACATCGTATGACAGACTGTCGGCCTCGTTGGCCACGGTGAGTCCGGCAAGCTCCCCCAGGCCCAGCTCACTCTCCATGGCCTCGTCCGCGCCCATAATGAACGACTTCCCTGAGGTGGGCGGGAAGGTCAGCGCCTCAACTGGGGAAAGAACAAATGAATAAATATACAACCAGAGAATTTAAGAAAGTCTAACAAAGAGTCGATCGCTGAAGTCTACTGGCGTTTTTGTTCGGGCACCTTCATCCGGTCGGTTCCCGTCGTGCTCGTTGAACCGGACCGCGTTGGGCCGGGACTGGGGGGCGGATGGTGGAGGCTGCATGTGGGACAAGTCCTCTGCATCCCTCAGGTTAGCCAGCATGTCCTGCAGCTTGGACCGGTTCGGCCCTGTTTAACGAGTCAGGTCAACAGCGTTACCGAAGTGACCCACACAGTGATGGAGAGCGGAGAGAAATCAAAGAGGCCAAAGTATGAAAACAATGAAATATTTCATTAAAAAGCTGAGTACAAGCTGAAAAAGAGATATGGAAGAAAGCAGCACTGAAAGGGAAGAAAATTAATTCATAAATGATAGTGTGTAAAAGAAGAGGAAATAAAAGCAAGTCCTTGTTAGATGAATTGAAGAAGATGTTGAGACATGTGTATTTCCAGGTGTGTGCTGTATGGAGAGAGTAATATAATATACAGCCGGACTTTATGGGGTTTCAGCCCAAGCAGAATCATTCAGTGAACCAAGTATGGATGTGAAGTTAATGATCACAAGCATTTTAAGACAAGCGGGCCCTTTGAATCAAACCTTAATTGGTGAAAACAGTAGCGTACCGAAGGCTCAACCGCCCCTAAATAACCAGCCTTGACAGTCCTCCAGATGATCTCCTCCACACACCCACAACGTGTACTGACACAGTGGGAAGATGTAAAAATAAATAGCCCTCTACTTAAACCGGAGGAGGAGAAAGCCATATTGAAAACATGGTGTTGACATCAAATGAAGAAGAAAGTGAGATGAACAGAGTTGCTGATCTCATGATTCAATCACAGTAAAAGGCTCCATCTGAAGTGGGCCGTTATTCAGCTGAGTCACTTCAATGAGTGACTGAAAAAGCTTGTAATTGATATTAATTTGCAGCAGCAACATACTGTAGTGTCAACATGGCTGACAGATGAGGATGTAGATGGTGGTAATTATGTTATTACGACTGGAGAAGATACCGAAAACAGGACGAACGAGGACTGTGGTCACGAGCACGACTAACTTTTACTTTCTCTGATATTTGACAGTATGTACAAGATGACGTGTGTGTAAATCAAAACATTAAACGGGACAGAAAGAAAACATGCATCAAGCATTACAGTTCGTTTGGGTAGGAAAATAAAGGTGACAGACTTTGTATGAGAAGCACGTTCACTAGAAGACAAGAGGAGACATTCAATATGGAGTGATAGACAAAAGAACAGAGCAGTGCCAAGTAAGAAGGCATAATAAGGAGCAGCTAAAGAAGGAGATGAAAAAAAACCCAGCCAAGATGTTTTGGTTTTGGTTTGAGGCTTTTTGGCTGAACTCAGGAAAGTCAGGCTCTACAGAGAGAGGAGTAGGAGGGAGGCAGCATCGGCTGACAGGACTTACTCTTCACCCCCTTTTTCCCCTTGCGCTCCTTTCTGTACTGCTCCTTGAGTTTGGTTATCATGCCCGGGTCCACCTCCCAGGCCTCAGAAATGGGACCTTGATCGTCCTTCTCTACACAGGGGGAACAAAACCAGGCCGAGGGGCTGTTGAGAAACTGCTCTGGTGGAGGCCCGAGGGGCCCGGCAGGGTGGGCAGGAAGCACTCGTTCTCTCCTGGGGGTTTCTAAAGCCTCCAGGAGAGTAGCTGGCCTTTCAGACTTGAGACGACTAATACCTCAGTGACTCATTAGAACCATCTCATTTAATCGTTTTAGGATTTCTTCATCATTGGAGTGGTGGGAGGGAAGTTAATGCCATGTGAGGGATTCCTTCATTTGAATCATAAAATCCTCACAGTGAAATCTGTGTGACAATCTAATTGTTGTATACACATGACTCAAGTAGTCAAAAACCACGTTCAAATACGAAACAACACCTCAGCATGACATCAAGCCCATTGTTTTTCTGGCTTTGGGTCTAAAGGACCAGTGAGACTCAGAGGGGGGTAGGTTTGACGACACACAGGAGACATTGTGGTCACGGGCTGGCTATGGGAACACACAGTGCAAGAGATCACAAACTACGGGTTAAACAGAGAAACATCCAAACATCATGATTTATGACCGCAGCGTGACATATGAATGACGAGTACTCCGTGAAACAGTCACCAAACTATGAGAAGACGTCAAATTCAGACGAGCAGGCAAATTATAAGACAACAGCATACAAATAATTGGGTTATTTTCAGTGCCTCTGAAACTTGTGCATTCAATTTGTAGATACAATATAAACACGCCTGTCACTGTGCAAGAGAAGAAATAAATAAACATTTCGATATCGTACTTTAACTGTGTCTGTGGCGTCGAGATAGCGCTTTTCTTGCAATTCTCACTGATCCACGACTCACCCCAGTCTGTGCCGTCCCCGTTGCCTCTGGACTCTGGCGAGGTGTCCATCTCGTCATGACTGGACAGGAAGTCAAAGCCCTTCAGTGCCTCCTCTGTGTCAGGGTCCTCACTGGTGTCCATACTGGCCGGCGTTGTTGAAGACGGGGGCTTCTTCCTCAGGATCTGGAGATAAATATTGAGTACCGTTATTAATAGCACAGAGACAACTTCTTCTTAACTTTGTGCGAGTGCAGAAGATGAGGGCAGACTATTTTCTTACCGTTCTGGATTCCACGTTAGTCCTGTCCCTCCCCTCGCTGTCCTCGTCATCATCGTCATCGCTGAACTCGGCTGCTGCATTCTCGATGAACTTGAAGGCCTCCAGTACAGCGCTACTGTCAGAGAGCTCCGCTTTCCTGAGAAGCAGCAACAACGCATGCACCACATCAGACTATAAGGCACAGTATCAGTAAAAACTCCACTCACAAGTGCAACACACAAGCAGCAAACGTGGGTGTGTGTTAGACGGATGAAAATAATCTGTGTCAAAGCGAAAAAACAAATAAACAGCGATATTTTGAAAGTACATTTTAACGCGACTTCGTTTGTCATCGACGATGGAATACCTAATGAGGCGTCAGCTAATTTGAGTTTTGATGTTTTGATGTTTTGATGCACAGTGGTTAACTGTGTCTTTGGCCTATATTGAGTTCATTAATACATGTTTGTATAGATTGAAAAAAATACATTAATTGAACAAGAAGAACTAGAAATGTGGACTCAGGGAATGAAATTCGCACCTGCCACCTTCCAAATACAGTAAATGTTGGCTGTGGCTTATAATAAAATATAAATATTACTTTTAAAAAGCAATTCCTAAATGATAAACAGTTACGGATTAAGGTTACATGATACATTCCGTATTTCTACTGTCTGGTACCACTGACTCAATTCTAAAGCGTTAGATTTCAGAAGTGGCAGACAATGAAAATTTAGTGGCCAGTAGAAATGTTCAGTGAAAGGTGAGGGAAAAAAAAAAAAACTGAATTTAATTTTAATATTGTTTTCAGCCTTGGTAGAGTTTATCAATCTAAACTACGTGCGTCTATAACTGTAGGTCTGCGGGGGCTCTCTGGCTCTGCAGGTCGATGATATTGGATTTAGGCGTTATTATGAATCCCACTGCCAACACCCGTCCTGTGTGGCCTTCAAGAGCTGGGATTAGCCAGGCGTCCACGGCCGCCGAGGTAGCGGTAACCGAATTTGATCAGGTCCTGTGCGCTGTGACCAATGGGCTATCCTGACCTCAACTGCTTGAGGTCAATGCCTAAACTTGGACCAATCATCTCTTAGCAGGGCGGGTCTTGTACAGTGGGATTCATAACTGCATAACATTCAGAGCTTTGCCTCATTTTTAAAACATGAGAGCGGCGCAGATGCACTAGTTAATGACGTGTCCGTTTGTCTTTTTTGATTGTTCACCAGACATTCATTCCCTGCACGATCCGATATGCCTCAACATTTATACCGTCCAGTCTTAAACAGATCGCAAGCAAGCGTTTATTAGACCCCTCCACACAGTGTTGCATGCAATTAACCTGTAATAGCGTTGTTGTCGATCAGTCTGTAGGTAGCTTAAGAGGGGAATACTTACCCTCTGGAGCCCAATGCCTTTGATGCGTCTGTCCCATTGACCAGAGGCTCAGTACTGGTCCGTTCCCCCGTCTTTCCGCCTCCATCCCCGGCTAGTCCTAGCAGCGCTCGGACCCGCTGGGACTTCACGTCTAAGATGGTGTCTGTGTAGCCCACCTCCTGCAGGTACCTGGAACAAGGTCATTAACTGAAACCTGGTTGCAAATGGTCTAGCCCAATTTTAAAAGTGACATTTTTTTCTGAAAGGAATATGTATATGTATGTACAGTGTTGTGTAGCATGGAGGAAGTTTGGATGAGAAGATGCAGAGACATTGTAGACAAGTCTTTAATAATGCTGCAAAGGCCCATTGAATGAACTTTTCTTAACAATAAGTTCCTTTCCCTAAAAAGACTTCAACATGATTAGCGATGAGGAAGAGTCGAGTACTTGTTACTGTCAAAGGTGCCATGTCCTCTGGCAGTTGTCTAGTTGATGGTATCGGCTCTGCTGAGGCAAGAAGAGCTACTCATCAAATATCACACCTACTCTGTGGGGATGCAGAAGAAGCTCTAGCAAATTGAGCGAGGCGACTGCCTGAAAGGGAGGGGTGTCTTTGCACATTGTTGATCTGTCCCTCGACACAAAGTCAAGAATAAATTGGCTGCCTCATTGGCCAGCATGGTGGGGCAGATGATGTGTGAGGCTGCCTGATACTGTCTGGGATAAAGGCCGAAGCCTGGTGTATTTACGCAGACTGGAGAGTAGGGCGACATGATCACCAAACGGCCCTCAGAAAACCAAACACAGAGCAGGTAATGCCTGCAGCTGCCCATGTGAGGGAGCTCTTCCCCAACGTTTTCCTGTAACTCGGGACTCCGGTATCTCGATACAGTTAATTTTAGTGCAGCGATTCAGTTTTCTGGGTTGAAGACTGTCACAGAAGGATTTAAGAGTGCACACTTACTGTCTGAGGAGCTGACGTCCTTGTTTCCAGGACAGCTGATTGTTGAGCGATCCAGAGGACTCATTCTCGTTGGTCTCATCTGTAGCAGAAGAGGAGGACACAAATCAGAGCTCCACAAACAGCACAGCCGCCGACATTATTTCCACTCTGTAAACACGACCAAAACATTCCTGCATCACAGCATCCTGGCAACTACACACACCCAGGGCTTAGTTTCTTTCTGCGAGTCAGTGGATTAGAGTTAAATGGAAGAGGGGATTGCTACTCTTTAAATTGTGCCATTGAAAAAGACACTTACATTTTATTGCGCAAATAAACAGCCGTGGCCATGAGTATTGCCGAATTTACGCTCCAACCCATTTAGCTTTTCGCTCATGTTTGGACCCAAGTTATCATTTGTCAACACGAGTGACTTTAACAGCTTGCCTCAGACCAAATATTTACATCTCAGTCTGTAATTAAAACTGTGTACTCAACAGCACTAGCAGCAAAAAGAAGAAATTTAAAACGCATTAGCAATGGCTTGTTGTTGATGCTACAACAGGACATTTGATATTTATTGACGCATACCGACACCTTCAAAATGGCGGGTCTCTGCTCCGACTACTTCCCATGGCTTACTAGAATAAGCACGTGTGTGTGTGTGTGTGTGCCCGCTGCAACCAGAACATCACACAATGTGTATGAAGGCTCTGACAAAACAAGCTATGATGGGATTCAAAGCTCACTTTGATATCAAACATCAGCGCTCCACTCGCGAGTCAGCTGGGAATTTTGCGCGGAGCAGAGAGACGTGTTAAGAAGATTTCGATGGGGTGCAAGTGTGTGTGTGTCGAGGAACTTGATTTGGCGGGGCAGAGAGACGACGGTGCCTCAAAAAGTGGGTCATGCCTAATTCAGGAGGGTGAGGAGCGGGCAGGTGCACCACCATGCAAACCCCCCCCCCCCCACACACTCGTCGTCTTCTCCCACCTAACACCTCTCTCCCCCAATTCATCAACACTTCAAGGGCTCGGGTTCTTTGAACAGCCCTCATGAATAGAGATGAGGAGAGAGGAGAGGAAATGTCGCAATCTGACTTAATGATGGCAGAGGACTTGAACATCAGAGGGCCAATTAAACTACAATAATATAACAAGGAGCAGGCAGTGAACTGACACCAGAGTGATAAGTTGGTAAAACTAGGTGCTGTGATGGAAAGAGTGAACACTAAAAAGTGAGAGCAACATTTAGGATGTTTAAGATTTGAGTGGGTGAAGTAGTTTAAACTCAACTTATGTAAACTGTGTGCATTTTATTTACTTACGTCTGGTGGTATCTAGCCATGCAGAGAGCTGAAACTAGGTCATGTTTTAGACATTTTCTGGAAACACTGCTGTTGAATTTTCTTAAATGCTAATATTCAATGTTTTGAGCAGCACATGTTTAGCTGTAAACAACTATTTGCATGGCTAGAGGCAAGTGAAATAACATTTCATAAAAGGTGAGCCTTTACATTGTGTGTCTTTGTCAGAGATCAAAGTGAAAGTATGATTGTCCTAAACATGTACAGCCATGAACGCTCTCCATCTAGAATACCTTTTGAATCAATTGGATCACAGTTGTTCTACTTCAAGCAGCTCAATGTTTGTGAAGTACGACTGTAACATCAACTGCCTTCAGGAAAGGACACCGAGAGGAACGTTATTGTGGCGAACAAGATTCAACATGAATGCAGCCTTCGAACGCTTCATGCCAGTCCCGTCACTCGAGGTATGTGAACTCAACAATCGGTGCTTTAGCGTGTGGGGAGGTAGAGTCACCGTAGACTTACCAGAGTCATAGGTCGGAGGCTTCATGTCGCCTTGATTCAACTCGGTCCCATATTTTAACTTGTGGTACTTTGCTCTGGAAGGAAAGAAGAAAAAAAAAAAAAAGGTGTCAGCAGATAAACACAGGGTTGATCTGAGAAGAAGCTATTTTAAAAAAACTCATTATGCATCTGAATAAGCTTTGAACGCCCCCCCCCCAGTGGTAAAGAGAGCGCTCACACCTTTTAGTCCACACAGAGTCAACACTACTCCTGCTGTGATCCAGAGGAAGCAACCCCCATCCAGATCAGATTCATGTTAGATTGGGTTCATCCTACATTCAGAACGACATTTCTCTCATATTGCTTTCGGAGACATGACCTGTTGCTTAGCAACCGGAGAGAGCGGTAGTAATCGTGGGACAAGCGTCGTTCCCGAGGCAGAGACTTCACCGGAGAAAATTAGATAAATATACACTAGAAACAGCCAGAGGCCGATTCTGTACCAACAAACCTAATGATGATGATCCTCACAGAGCAGCAACATGTAACTAACCTCTGAGCCGTCTGGAGGAACGACACGCGCACAAATATACATTCTGACACCCGTCTACCTCAGGACTGTTAAGGCTCTGAATAGCTACAAACATCGTGTAGCTCCTCGCTCAGATTAAGACATCTGCACACAACAGTTTCACTTCTCTATAGCCTCTACTTATCCCACAAGGACTTTGCTGATTACTCGCACTCATGGAAACGATGCTTTACTTTGCATTCATAGAATTCCAAACATTCCCAGTTTAAAGTCGTCTGACAAAACCAGAGTCGTCCACAAAGCAGTTCTTCCTCTGTGGTTGTTGTTGAGGGTCTAGCTACACAGAGACACCATTACTGTAAATCACACATGCAAGGCAGCGGCCAAAATGTTGAGCTACATCTCCAGGGTTCAAGTGTCCACCGGGTTCCTCTCGAGTGCCCCGTCGGTACTGTGCTCAGAGATGTGAAGGGAGCCAGATTGCAGGTTTAGTGTATTTAAAGAGCACATTTAAAAACAACAAAAAGGAGCTGTAAAGTGGAAAAATAACAATACAAGATGGCTCACTCCTTAGCTACTTCCATCCTCAGCTCTGGAAAAAACAACGCGTTTCATTATTTTTTACCACTTGCCCAGTTGTGCAAGTGAATTGCTATATTGACTAGTAGTCACAGCTTCACAGTTTGAATGAGAAACTCTGTGGCTTCACATTAATAGAGACGTGTTGAAATCAGCGATATACCTCTGTAACAAGGTGCAGCCAAGCGTCAAGGAGGAACGAAATGCAAAGGGCATCACCACAGCTACCAGAGGGAGCTTTTGTGTGCCGGTGGTGGGCTGAAGCGCACGAGAATGAGGACAATGTCATCCTTCTGGTTTACTGGAGAAAGAAAGCTGCGACGGTGACCTCGTCTTGGGTGGTGAGAGAATTCCCCCCCCCCCCCCCCCCGAGTCATCAGCATCCGACAGCAAAGAAAGCCTTCATGCCAACACATGCTCTTGTCCAGAGACATCACACCAGCTGGACTCACGGGCTCTCTGTCACTCTAATACTGCTTCTGCTGACACCAGCTGAGACATCAGACTGGTGCGCATAGAATATAAACAAGAAGAAGCTGGAAAATCTAGCAAAACGCCAGCAAAACCTTTTACACATGATCAGATGTTGATTTGTCGAACAGTGAGACTCTCATCTCACACTGTTCTTCTCCCTTTTCCATATTTCTCAGAAGCAGGAATGTATTTTTAGGAGCGTGCAAAACATGGAAATACTGCAGTTGTTGCAGGATGGCTGAGGTGTCTGTGTGTATTGTGGGTGGGCTGAGGCAGGTGGGAAGGAACTCACCTCTCCTGCTTCAGTGCATATTCCAGCATTTTGATCCTCCTCACAAGGTCCTTCTTCAAGTTCTCCTGGCCTTTCCTCTCGCCCTGCAGGAAGGCGATCTGGGCCTGAAAACACAAAAAATAGGATCGTCAGGTCACATTTTAAAGTAGTAGAAGATTTAAAGTAGTTGCTTTTATAAATAGAGACCAGTTTCCGGTGTTTTGGCATCTTGGATATGAACTAGGAACAAAGACTTCAAACACAACCTCCACGAGGCAGCATCTGAGAAAGACTACTTCTGTCGAGACTGAAATAGGATGATGTCAAATCAATGTGTGTGGCATGATGGGGAATAAAAGCCAATCTGTACCATTCTATTTTAATCTAACCTACTCACTCTCCCACACACCAACAATCGCCCCTCCCTCCTCTAAAACCCCTTCCCTCTGCACACCGCCGTCTCTCTTCAGTAACAGACAGCAGCTGTTGATGCACTCGGTCTGAGTCAGCATTACATTACATTGAATTGCTGTGAGTGCCGCGCGCACACACACACACACTCACTCACTCACACACAGAATGAGAATGGTAGCGGCTAGCTCACAGTGAAGCTGCATCAGATAAATCACAACAGAGCAGATCACGATTGCGCAAAACTGTATCCATCTTACAGCAGGTCTTGACATTGGGTCATTGTAATCCTCACAATATATTTCAGTCACAAGCATTATGCCCGAGACAGATACTGGACCAAGTTAGTAGCATGAGTACTTTATCTAGGGTTACTATTCGGGGTGGGAATCTTTGGCAATTTCACAATTTAATTTGGTTGAGAATCAATTTCAGATTTAAAACAATTCTTGATTCAATAAAAAAGAAACAAGGTAGTATATTTAGTTTTGTGCCAAACCATTGACTGCTGTCCTTTGCCCCCTGAGCTACAAATGAAACATAACTTGACTAACTGGTCTTGATGAGGATCATTATCTGACTAATAGAAGAAAAACAACGTGAGTTTTCAGCTTCTTTTATTTCTTATGTTTCTCTATTTAAGTTAATTGTAACTTGGAATCATCTTTCAGTCTTCTTCCTGTATGGAAATGATGAAATTAAAGTCCAATTTACTGACCCACCATTCATGTTTTTGTAGGAACAGAAATTGGTGTGTGTGTGTGTGTTCTAGAGTAAAGGGAGGAGTGCTCTGCTGTGTTAACAATAACAACAGAATGAAAAATGAATTTCACCAAAACAAAGTACATTATCATTGAGATGCTGGAGCATCAGCAATGAGGAATCAGTCTAGCTGTCATACGTGCACTCCTTAACAGTCACTGTGGCGTTGTTTTTATATCTTATAGTTCCTTCAATGGCATGACATAATATTTTTTGTATGGTACAAAAATCATATTCCGCTCTTAATAAATTATAACCAAGCATGTAGTTACTGCCCTATGGCTTTGTGAGGCAGCATTGCCAAAAATGCTTCTAAATTCTGATTACATTTGGTTGGTAAAAAACTTCCTGAATAATTAAGAAAATAATCAATTACTCAGTTAAGTAATTAATCTGAGTGCCACTCTGTAGTTAGGAGTAGACAACCAAATTATTGTCGAGCAATGTTAAAACTTATTTTGGATGAACACAAATGGAAAACAAAATCTAAAAACTGCGTAAACAATAAGCCCGCTAGAGCGCCCGCATCACTGTGGGAGATCCACTGAAAACAAGGGTGGAGAAAAGCACAAAAAGCCAGATTTCACCCGTCTAAAACATCAATAAAAGAATTTAAATGTTCTCGTGGGAATGATTCAAATTGTAAAAACCGCACAGTAACTTCTTAAAAAGGGAATGAATATTGACTTTATTCCCTGCATATCACTCTGCATGCAGAGGATGGTGCGAGTTTGAGTGGGCTGGATCACAGTTTCACACGGATAGCAAGTAGCGCCGTTTCTGCCTGCAGTAATGAGTCATGACAGCGCTTCAATCTGCCTCGTATTAACAGCATTTTAACATCCACCGTTCTCCGCAGAGGATCTCATAACAACCTGCCTGCTGCAGTGCCCTTAGGATTGAGGCTACTGGTTCTCTGCTTGAACATTGTAAACAGTGCTGAGTTAAGTTGGCACCAGTCTCATGGGTCGGCAGCGCATCGCTCTACGTCTCTAAAGTCTCCAATTTCCTACTCGCCCCGTTTTATGTGCATTCACCCTCAGCTGATCTATACCGACGCATTTAAACAATGCTAACAACGTTCAGTATGCATGCACTTTAAACATTCTTGAGCCAGTATCGGTCAGCATTAAAACAGAAAGCAAAAACCAGAAAGAGAGGTTACAGTAAGATAGAGGAGCGGGTCAGACAGCTAATAGAGAAAATACCAGCAGAGGGAGTCATCCCTTCATATTCACCAGATGAAAGAGTATTGATTTATAGGTGGATAAAAAAGGTTTTTAAACACAACTTGCTTACATTCTAAAAGTAGACACCACTTAACTTTGTGTTGTCTTTGGAGGATGGGAGACGAGGTACACACACACACACACACACACACACGGGCACAGATAATGCGTTAGGAAAATATTGCATATGGAAAATGATCACCGTTTGGATTGGGCCAGACTGTGTGGCTCCCAAAATAACTAGTTTAAAAGCGGCTCCAACCCAAATATCAGAGAGGACCACTGCCTCGGGGGCGTTGAAACCGTATCACATGCAACTGGGCTGCAGAACCTACAAATACCTCATTAGGCTAATTGCAGAGATATTTTCCTTTAAAAGTCTCTTGATGTCCAGCTGAGTCTCAGACCATCTCAAAAAACAATAAACTATCATTACAAAGTGCCATGATTTCCCGTATTTCAACGATCAGAGCCACAGCATAGCCACACAATAAAGCCCTACCTCAAGAATGTCATATCCAAAAAAGTGAATGACAGAGTGTGAGAACGGGCTGTGAATTTGGACGCCTCAGATGCATAACCTCACGGAGAAAAAACGACACACATTGACTGATTTGACTGTGGATGAAACTGTACATCCGCAATGATTGATATAAACGAGTGACCGTCCACATGAAGAGCCGGCCCAGGGACCCAGAGATAGAGAAGAGTGCAGCTCTGTGACTCTCTCCTCCATCAAACATTAACCTTGGGAGGAATGCAATGAGTCAACTCGGGCCACAAAGACACACAGGAAGCATTTAATTCTCGGCCTCACACTGGCTGCATTATTGGGCTCCTGGATAAGGGCTCCTTAGTCTGTCTGTCTGAGTAAGAGACACGTAGAGCATGGCATCCATCCAGAGCACAGCGCCTTTCAGAGACAGGAAAAGAAGGCAGAAGAGACACCAGCCACTGGCTAGGATCCTGGTACGCTAAGGTTAGAAAGTCAGTCACAATGTCTTCTGCTTGGAATAAAGTCAATCCTAGTTTGGTTATCAAAGAAGCAAAAGAAGGATGTTACGTAGTACAGTAGCGGGGCATCATGGGAGATGTTGTCTTCACTGTTAAACAACCACCGTTGCAGACGAAAATCTGAAGTGACTCAGGCAGAAATCATGTTCTTTTATTTACGTCACATACAGTCACATCTACTCATGGTGTGTCACTTCATTCTAAGGAAATAGCTGCGTTAGCTAACGCAACAATAACCCGCTGACTTACACGAGTCGTCTCTCGTCTGCTACGGTAGCAGACTTTATGTGACGAATTTAATTGCGGGGTAGCTGGGATCTGTTATAGAAAATAACTTGTAGATGTGTTCAACGTTGTTATGTTATAACGTTACCGTACGCATCAGCTTGGTGGCTGGCATGAGCCACTTGTCATTGTAGCAAGCTGAATGGATATTGAAATTAGGAAGCTACTGGATTACTGTGTTGCAAAATGGCATGCAGTCAATGAAAACAGTCAATGAAAAGGCAATTCCGTGGCATTGTGCGAGTTACACTTCGGGCATGAGTAACTACTTCGTTGTTAAACAGAGTTATGTTGAAACAGTAAACGATACAGCGGCTCGTAGACTTCCTGCCTCAATGTGTAAATATTGCATATTAAACCTTTCAACGTGTAGATTCAGTCAGCACATATTGCTGGCGATGGATGACACAGACAGCAGCAACGAGAGGAAAACGATTCCACCAAACCCTTTATCTTCTTTTCAACTTAACTTTCAGTCAACGAATGTGTGATGATTATAAACGATATCCCCTCCATTATAAATGAGATTAGTGAATTCCAGACATGTTTCCTTCCAGACTTGTTCTGCGTCATCGCCGAAGACATCTTCAACACAATGAGGCCATTTAATCCAGACACAGTGAACACTGTGAAAAACCCATCTCAGCGGCAAGACCGAGCTCTCTCCCATTTGTAAAAGAATTGCAGCAGATACTCATACAACCTCAGGGCCTACACACAAACACACACACGCACACAAAACGGTCACATATACTGGCGCTTCGGCCGCGGTCAGAGCCGAGGAAGGGAAAGGAAGGGGTGTAAACCCCACATGTATAATGCAAACAACCTTTCTTTCAGTGAACATGGGATTTACTCTCATAGTTACTGCAAACCAATGAGCACCAGGATGGCTGACCTGATGACTAGCCTAGTACATTCCATTACACTAGTAGCACGTGAAAAACAACTGAAGCAAGACAGCGGGGCTTTGGACTTCTCTGACGTGGCTACAGCAGTGCACTTTCCATTTGATACTCCACACAGATCAACATAACCTCTGTATGGCTCAAACAGCTCTATTCTCGTACGTTAGATCTTGAATATATAAAACCACACTCATCACTTTAAAAAGGTTAAATTCACTCAGAAATATTCCTGATCATTATAATAGAGGTGTGGACATTTCTCGATTCTAAGATGCATCGCGATGCAAATGTGAAGGATTCTGCATCGATGCAGTGACGGAACCTAATCGGGAGTTTGGTTTTATTTCAGCTCAGTGACAGTCTTTACTGGGTTTTACTGGCGTGCCTCTCCCTCTCTCTCCCTCTCTCCCTCTCCCCCCCGCAGTGTTTCACCGAGGGTGGGGCTTATACAGACACTGCACATCGATCCACGCCGCTCATGTCCACGGGCTCAGATTCAGGATTGCTCTGAGGGGT